TCCTTCATCATTTCAGCCTTAAAATTGTTCAAGAGGTGCTCATTACCACCTGTTAACAGCAAATCATCAACATAAAAAGACACTATTAGTTGAGAATCAGAATTTGTGCCCTTGACATATAAAGTAGCCTCATTTTCGCTCCTCCTGAAATCCTGTTGTAGAAGATAATCATCAATTCTGCTATACCAGGCCCTTGGTGCCTGTTTCAGACCATACAAGGCTTTGCCAAGCCTGTACACATAGTCCTCTTTTCCAGCAACGTCAAAACCTTGAGGTTGTTCAACATAAATTTCTTCCTCTAGGATTCCATTCAAGAAGGCTGATTTAACATCCATATGATAGAGTTTCCAGCCCAAATTTGCAGCTAAAGCAACAAGGAGTTTAATTGTATCATGCCTAGCTACTAGTGCAAAAGTCTCACCATAATCAACTCCGGGCTCTTGAGCATAACCTTTGACCACCAACCTGGCCTTGTATTTATGAACTGACCCATTGGGATTCAATTTTGTTCTATAAACCCATTTTACCCCAATAACATTTTTGTCTTGAGGTTTTTTTGTGAGATACCAGGTTTTGTTCTTCTCTATCATAGCTATCTCCTCTTGCATAGCTTGCAACCAAACATCTTGTTTTGCAGCAGCTTCATAACTTGATGGTTCTGAAATAGCCAAATTACAACTCTCATACACTTCAGACAAGCACTTTGTCTTCAAAATTGGAGAGTCATCATCAACTTCAGCAATCTCTGTATTTGAAGGCATGCTGGAGCTTGCTGAACTTTCAGAATTTTTCTGCACATCATCTGTTTTTTCAACTTTTTTTGCTTCCCAATTCTAGAAGCCTCCTTCGTCAAAAGTCACATCTCTACAAACATTGACTTTCTTGGTCTGAATGTCATAAATTCTATAGCCTTTTGACTGAGTGGAATATCCCACAAAAATTCCCACATTTGCTTTCTGGTCCAATTTTCCTCTTTTAATGTCAGGAATATGAGTATAACATACTGAACCAAAAATGTTTAAATGATTTGCAGAAGGCTTCATGCCGTACCAAGCTTCAATTGGTGTTTTATTCTTGACAGCTTTAGTGGAAACACCATTCAGCAGATATACTCCTGTATACATAGCTTCAGCCCAAAAAAGATTGAGGTAGCTTCTTCTCTAACATCATGCACCTGGCCATTTCCATAACTGTCCTGTTCTTTCTCTCAGAAACTCCATTCTGTTGTGAAGTATAGCTGACTGTAAGTTGGTGTTGGATGCCAGCCTCTTCACAAAAATTATTGAACGCAACAGAGGTATATTCTTTACCATTGTTTGATCTAAGCTTTTTAATTCTACATCCACTTTGGTTTTCAACCAAGGCCTTGAACTTCTTGAACACTGAGAACACTTGAGCTTTGCTACTTAAAAAGTAAACCCATGTCATTCTAGTGAAATCATCAATGAATAGAATGAAATACTTGTTTTGGCCCAAAGAAGGAACTTTCATGGGACCACAAATATCTGTATGGACAAGCTCTAGCTTTTCACAAGCTCTAAATGCCTTGTTGATAGGAAATGATAACCGATGCATTTTTCCAAGTTGGCAGCATTGACACACTTCATTAGTTACATGCACTTCTGGAAAGTCTCTGATCAATTCATTAGTTTGCATGTATTTCAATGCTTTGACATTAAAATGGCCATATCTCTTATGCCACAAAAGTGTATCATTGACTTTAGAAGCATGCAAGCATTTCTGAACAGATTGCATATCTAAAAGAAAACTGTTCTGGACCATCTTAACTCTAGCAACCTCCATTCCAAATAAGTCATGAATATAGCAAAAATCATTTTTAAATGACAAAGAATAGCCTCTTTTCATCATCTAAGCAATAGACAACAAATTTTGACTTAAGCTGGGCACAAATAACACATCTGAAATTAGCTTAGTACCTGAACTTGTTGGGATTACTGTTGTTCCCTTTCCTTGTGAGAAAACCACCGTGCCATTTCCAAGCTTGACACTTGTTTTCACTGATTTGTCTAAGTCCAAGAAAATACTTTCATCTCGAGCCATGTGGCTTGTACAACCACTGTCAATATACCAAGAACTGGCAGAAGTTGAAGAGCTGCTCGAGGAAGCTACAAACAGGTAATTTTGTTGTGCATGTTCATCAACATAATTTGCTTTCTGCTGTTGCTTTGGTCTATATTGAGGCTGCTGTGTTTGTTGAGTTCGCTGAGCTTGTTTAGCTCTGCAATCTCTCTCCATATGGCCATATCTTTTGCAAAATCTGCACTGGATTTGAGATTTTCTTTTTAACCAACATCTCCTTTCTTCATGGTTGATTTTTTGGCAGTGTCTACAAGGAGGAAATCTCCCTCTTCTTGATTGAAAAGGTTGATAGCTTTGTTGACCTGAGCTATCTAACATCTTTTCCTTTTCATATTCTA